TAATCAACAAGAGCCCGACCTTTTCTATTTTGTAATATAATAATCAAAACACAACATATGATGTAAGTATAAGGTATAATATCACAAACGTTACAAAATAGTATAATCTTCCTAATCGTTTGCACAAGTACAAAAAAAATGTCGAGACTGCGTGCAAGAGTGTCAGTTATACCAGGCGAGTTGGATTGGTGTGTTTTAATATAAGTAGAACAGTTAGTCTAATCATATTAGACGAGAATACCGCTGGTTTGCGGGATAAGGATAAGGTCTGGTTTTATTGCTGCACGTTGTTGTTCAAGGGGGTATTCAAAACATGGACGCATAAAGTAGGTACATCAGCTTTTCTGGGAAAACTTTTTATTCGACAACAAAGAAGGAAAACGTTTTTGGGGGGGGGGGATTCAATCGAAACTGTCAATTGATGTAAAGAAGATCCATCTAACTTATTTGTGCAGCTATTTTAAAGTGAATAAAATATATAAAATGTCTGACACCGATAGTGAACAGGAAGTTACCGAAGATGCCCCTAATATGTTTATCGCTGAAAAAGTCCAAGCATTTCCGGAGATTCTCGAGAAATCTCAAGTTCCAGCGATGAAAAAAAGAAGAAAACTGCTGCATTAACTGATATCGTTAAGGAATACGTTACTTTATTTGGCAAGGAGATGGATATTAAAGCTTTTATGAAAAAAGTGAACAATATGGAAACGCGACTGAAAAATAAAACTGACAAAAATAAAACAGGGAACAAGCCCATTCGTCTTTTGTCCTGGGAGAACGTTATGTTAAAGGCTTTGGATGCGGACATAAATCCTGTACTAAGTCGGGTACCAGATGAGAAATAGATTCAAGTCTTTACTATTACCTAGATACTTATCATGCACGTATATTTTTATTAGGGGCTCTTGCAATTGGCGTGGCAAGTCAACCTTCTTTACCTACTTGAAAGGATGACATTATGGTGGAAAACGATGCTCATCAGATGATTATGCCTCAAGTAGTAGCTAACAAAAAGCGATCCTACACATCGGTTGAAGAGGTTGCTGCAAAAAAAATTCCTCCGAAGCCTACCTTTGCTTCGGGCAAACAAGAGTCTGACGAGACGAGGCAGTTAACGACAACCCAGCTTCAACGATTAGTTTTAGTTGAACAACTGAAAGTTGCTCGTCTCTAACAACAATATTACTCTGCCAAGCTAAAAAATTTAAACGAGGCATCAAACGAAAAAGTATGTTGTTGTTGGAGATAATGTACTAAGTGACATATAAATCCGAACACCCAGTTTAAATGGTTTTATTTTAATAAAATTTTGTATAAGTACTTAATGAAGCATAATAAGTAAATGATAAAAATTTCAAAATGATTGCACTGCTTTAAAGCCCTTTGACCTTTAATAATGTGTGGATGCACCCTTATGTGCTACGCATTCTCCAACGCGCCTAGACATGCTTCTGATCAGGTGGTCAATGTCCTCCTGTGGTGTCTCATTCCAGGCAAACACCAACTCCCCTCGAAGTGCTTCTAGAGTCTGAGGCGGACGTTGCAAATTGAGCAATCTCCTACCCA